TAGATTAATAAATATTTCGCATTAAACAATTACAATTATAGTTATATACATATATTAAATAATAATTTATGGCGTAGGTGGATTAGATTGAAATTGTTTTAAGGTTTCCAATCGATTCGTTTTTTTTTGCTCCGCTCTTAGCCATGTTTCAATGCATTTGCCTTTAATTCTCTTGGGACTGGAAAACGTGCTCTTTTTTAGCCCGAAGATAGTTTCAAAGTCTTTGGACAACTGCTGTCGTTGTCGTTGTCGAATGTTGTCGGGGCTTGTGAATGTTGTCGCCGTAGCTGTTACGCGAGAGTCTTGTCTTGTAAATGACTAAGCGGCGCTCCAAAGAGACCCAGTTACAGCTGTGCGTCTGTCTGTCTGTTTGTCTGTCTGTGTGTAATACGAGTATCTGCAACACTTTGAGAAAAAAGACATTGAGAGATCTCAAATAAAAGAATTGACTAATTTTATTTCGGAATAACTCGCTTAAGCTGTCTAGACTTAAATAATTACAAGCCACCGAAAAAATATTTATATATACCAAATGTGGAGAAGGCCTCCTGGTAGCCTGTGTATCCTATGCGAAGCCTTAACTCGTTGAGAATTACAAGCACTAAAGAGTAAGACAACAACTAGTAGGACAAGAACTGGAAGACTGTAATCAATCTTAAATCATGCTTAAAATAGAATTTGATTTGAGTTGGGACAAGTACTCGAAATAATATTTGTGCTGTAAGGTTAGCTTATGTTGACCTTGCTTGGATTTTGGCAACGTTTTCACTCGCTCTCTTTTTTCTAAGTGTATTTTTTTGCAAATGCTGCGAACGGATATGCACAAGATGCGAAACGTGCTTTCCCAATAACGTCAGACAGACAATGACAAAATAAAGCCAAGAAACGATGCGAACCAACTTGGTTTCATTTATTGTTGTTGTTGTTGTTGTTGTGGCCTGTGCTAAAAACTGCAGCCAAAAAATAAATAAAAATATTTAAAGAAAACTGTCAAGATTTGCATTTATCGTTGTTGCCGCTAAGAAAATGCGCATGCGATAAAGTTTCTGTTGTCGTCTCGTCGGTATCTGGTATCTAGTAGCTGGTATCTCACAAATGCAAATACAGATACAGATACAAAAACACGTGCGTATATATATAGATATGCATGTCTGGCACTTGCATAATTTGCATATCGGGCAAATGTGGGGCTTTGCAAAAAAGAAGAGGAACCGCATCAAAAACATGAAATGCTTATCTAGACATAATTAAAAAACCAAGTGCTGCAAATGAAATGAATAAAATGAAAACAAGAATTCTCTGTTGATAATTGTTCGTTGTTTCCGCTCAAATTGAATATAAAAAATTATGCGTTTGGAGATTTTAATTGACACACCACAGAAAGGAATCAAATACCAAATTTATATTGGCGAAATTCTGCGAAGTTTTCATGATTGGGTTCGGTTTATTCGGGTTTTTGGTTTTTACCATTTGGCCATGGTTTTGTATTTGTAATTGGCATTTGTTATGTATTAATTTAATTAGTTGGCGTTTTGTGGTTTCAGCTGCCCAGCTCTGAGCCGACTCCCGCATCGGAACAATCGGATTAAATAGAAATGTGGGTTTTTTTTTGTGCTTTTGCAGATAGCAAAAATGTTCAGCACACAAATACGGGCTTTTATTTATTTATTTCTTTTTAAATATTTGCTTTTTGTCGGCTTTGTGTAATTTTGCCATATGCTAAATAAATTAAAATTGCAATTTATTGTCGAGATATTGTGTGCGTGCGTGTGGTTGAATGTGATAAATACATTTACATTTACTGCGAGCTAAAAAATAAACAAAGTTAAATAACATTTAAATTGAAATTCTGATATTTATGCAACTAAAATTTATGACAAGTTTATTGAACTTTTAATTTCGAACAGTTTAACCAGCCGATTACATTTAATATTTGATATGCGTAAAAAAAAAAAAACAGTGAAAAAGAATGAAATAATTAAATTATAAATCTGAATGTGCATACATTAGGTTTATTAAATCAAGTTTTTGCTGCTTTTTGACATTATCTGGTGGCAAGCAAAATACACTGAGAGAAATCATATAAAGTGCAACTGAGAATTTCTCGTCATTTCCTCATTTGTTGTAGTTTGAGCGGATACGTTGTTTTTCAATGCCCCCAATCCTGCATTTACACACGCACACACAAAAAACATATATATGCCATTAGCAACTATGCATATAATGGCCTCTACACAAATACACACACACACACATAGGCACACAGACACACGCACACACCCACAATCATTTCTATGGCAATAAATCCATCTTTATATACGGTTTACAATTCAATTTAAATGTAATTTCCCCTTTGCGAAATTGCTAAATTTCAACAGAATTCTTGTTAGGGGTGAGGTGTCAGCCATTCAGTCAGTCAGTCAGTCCGTCCGTCAGTCCGTCAGTCACACAGATAGTCAAATGTCGCAGACACGCCTTATGCTAGCAGCAGGCATGTAAATAATAGTGTACATCATAATTTTTCATTTGGCACGGTAGAAAATCGTTTTACACTTTCGACATAAATTGACGAAATAAATCATGTTGGCAACACGTGATTGGGGATTTAGGGCGGGGTGGCAACGCCGCACCTGAGTGCGCACGGCCGGAAAACGAGCACGAGAAATTGCAGAAAAAATAAAATTGTGTGTGTAGCTAGGCAAACGTAAGGGATAGGTATCATGTAGAGACCACTTTTCGTATACCCTAACAAAATTTATAAACATTTTAGAACATGAATGTATTCCTAATATGTGATGAATCTTTTCTCAAGCATTATTGAGAGGAATAATAAGTGTTTATTAACTTAATATTTCTTAATATACATATATATACATATATAGAAAGAGCTTACACGCTTCGTTGCAGCGCATTTGTATCTTACTTAATAATTTATGTGCTGTGCATTGTATTTTCATTTCGCGTTTATTATTTCGGACGCACAATGCGGCGTATGCGCAATGTTTGTGCATTTTTGCTTAACGTGTGCTTAAAATATTTTTGCCGTTGCGTAAAAGACAACAATTCTGTTTAATATTTATAATTTCATTAAATGTCCGTCCGTCCGTCCGTCCGTCTGTCGGTCTCACCGTCTACTCTAGCATTTTTGCCATGTCGGCTCTTTGCCATTTAAGTGCATTGTCAATTATAAACATTTTCATAAAAGGCCACGACCGGGTCGTCTGATTGAATTGTGGCCTCCGATATGAGCATGTACATATAACTGATAAATGTGATGAATGTGATATTTATTTTCATTAGCAATTACAAAATTGCATTTTAAGTGTAATTCATTTTTGATGTACGACTGATGCATGAACTGATTATTGAATTGTAGAGCTTTGTCTTCCAGTGGAACGAGGGGTATTAAATGCGCATTAGGCGCTCTTTGCACCCCACAGGGTAGCCTGGGTATTTCCGCTGTCCGCTCCTCGCCTGGTTGGCCGGGGGGCAGTCACTTATCGACCACATTAGCCTAATGATTTCGTCAAGTTTCTCAGTTTCATTGTCAGCACTTAAATGCAGGCTTCATTTGGTTAATTGCATGGCAAACGTTGTCATGATTAATGTTAATGCCAATGTGACTGCCCTTTGGGGCCTACACACAACAACTTCTGGCAGTCGAATATATTCGTGTATAGATCCCGAAATTAAAACCTGTTTCTAATTCATTTGATTCTTTTTTTTTTGCCTTTGAGCTGTTTTGTAATTTGATTCCCCGTTCGCAAAGTCAATTTCATTAATTGGAATTGTGCATTGAGCTGTTGAAAATTGATAGGCTGATTCAGGTAATCAATTTCACATCATTCAATTAATCTAGCATAATTAAAGTGTAGCCCGGGCCGAACTATATTTCCTGTATCAAATTGACATGCTATTGTAACTGGACGCTCGCTGAACATGCCGTTCGAAATTCTAGTATGTCTGGCCCAAAATTTATGCCGTATTGTTCATTAAATCTCGAGTTGATTTTGTACTGAAATGTTCTTCAATTAAGCATAATTCAACTAAGAATTAATAATTATTGCTTAAGGGTAGTACGTTCTTTATCGAAGTACACAATTTCTTAATCAATCTAGTCTTTTATATCAAATATTTTGGACTGTCGTGCTCTTGGAATAAATAAAAGAACTTCACTTCCTAAATTAAGTCTTGTGTTGGTAAATTTTAGAATTTAATAAAAATGCATGAAACAAATAGTTCATTTACAGTGGGCCTAAGGTACTTTTCTCAAATTATTCTTCAACTATTTCCAGTCTAAGCATGTTCCAAGGATGTTGAAACGTTTGCTTTTCACACTGAGGCTGGGCGAGATTAACGGAAGGCGTTTCGCTACCAACGATTGCCATTGCCGCCCATTTGGGCCGTAAGTGGAGCAAGGCTTCTCTCGTTTCGCAATCTTGGCACGCCAACTCATACCCACTACCCCCCGCAACAACTACCCCTGCTCCGGCACCTGCTCCCCGCTGGCAATCGTCAATTGCCCATTTGCATGACCCACTTGCGCTGAGAATTATAAAGCAAAAGGCATGCTTATGTATGCATAAACCCGAACAGTTGCCGTTTTAGCACCGAGCAACGAGCAGCGAGCACCTCGAGGGGCTGTCTCTATCGGGGCATTACGTATACGCCGCCTTGGCTGCCTCACATGCCACAGCACTGACGCTGACGTTAACTTGTACGTTAAAGTTGACGTTGCGATTGTCGCCTCTATTTATAGACGCCTTTTAATGAGCAAACTACTTCCGACAGACGCAGATTTGAACTTTAAAAAACACAAACACACACTAGAGTTATAAATAATCAGCTGGCAATTAGCAATTGCAATTCACATGGCAAGGCCTATGAAACACAATCGACAAATAATATTTGACTAGCAATTATCGAATTAACGCTCGACTTTCGCAGTTGGCTTGATTACGCAATCCTTGAATATATGTTTATAGGGTATATGTATTTACCCAATTAATTCAGTTGGAACTCGCTGCAAATGTTTTGCTGTAATTTGCGCAAATTCACGACGCGTTTAGGCCAAATAAAAACGAAAAACTAATTTGCAAAGCTCGCAAACTGTGCATCCCAATGTCAATGACAGCGCACGAGGCGCACAAGAACTGCACAAATCAGAAAGCTTTCAGAGATGTGAAACCCTCTCCCGCCGCCAATACAATCATTAGGATCATCATTCAATGTTACCTGATGGCTCTCTGCAGTTGTGTGTGGGTGTGTATATGTGTATGTGTTTGTGTGTTTTGTATTTGGTTGGCATTGCAAAAAGTATCTTTGTAGCTGACAATCAATAATATGCATTGTGAGTTGCAGGTTATTGTGAGCTGCTTTTATACTCTTACCGAGTATTATACGTTTGTCCTGAAATTTTTGTCCTTCGACTTATCGCTATATATCTTGACCTTAGCATTTATGAGCTTGTCTATAACCCGAATATATATCTTAGCATAAGGTTTCTATAGGCACAATTGAAGAAACATGTGCCACATGTCGAAAAGAGCATTTATTCTTCGGCTTGTACAAAAATAGTGTTGTTTCTCTTTTATCCATTTTCCTTTATTTGTTTATTTTTTTTTTTGCACTTTTTGCGCAATTTTCTGGCAACGCTTTTTTATTTTTCATTCATTGCATTTGGCAAGCAACTGCCAATAAGTTGGCCATAGGCTATTGGCCATAGCTTATAGTCTGGGCATCTTCGCTTCTACATAGCATTTAATTGCACGTTTTGGCCAGCAACAACCGCAGCTACAACAACAACAACAACAACAATGGGCATGCTAAATACAAAGTAACTAACTGAAGGCAAGTTTTTTGCGGCTTTGGCTCCTCGTCGACTTTTGGCCAGCTTTGCCTTCTCTTGAGAGAATGTTTTTATTGTAGAAAACCTGAAGCATGCTTTTGGATCAACTAAGCGAAGCCGACTATAATGAGCTTGTGATATGGTTATGCCAAGCATGAATGCATATATATAGATGTCTATATATATAACTATATTTTCTAACTGACTGATTGATTGATTGACTGACTGATGATGCATTGCATTTTTAGTATATATACTTATTTCATATTGTGAGTAAATTTCACGCGCGATTGTGGAAAATGCGTGGAACACGATGGACTTGTAATTTCGTTGACAATGCTTAACATCCGATAGGCTTTTCTTAGATCTTTTTGAATATTCTAAAGACGTGCCTAACATATTTTGTCAAATCCAACTAACCGCGTGGAAAATGAGTGATATATGACAATTATTTAATTTACTAAAATAATTTGATCTGGTAATACTGCTATACTTTTTACTATGGGCAGAATTTCAAATTTAAAAAAAAATCAAAAATATTTATAATATCACAAATGGAAATAACAATAAATACCAAAAATATATCTAAAGCGCGAACAGTTCGTGAAACAGTTCGTGGATAGGCTCGCTTGTTGTGTTTGATTTTCTCGGGATCTACATCTAGTAAATACTCTTGTATTTGAGCTCTACCTTTGTTTACTTGATTGTTTCTCTGTTTTGGCAATTTCTCGCTCATTTCGCGTTTGTATTGATGTTGTTTTTTGTTGGCATACTTGTAGACACTATTTACTTGGCTGACCTTTAGTCTTAATTTGGTTTGCCCTTTTGGGGCGACCTGTGTTGCCCGTTGCATTTGTTGTTGTTGTTGGTGTTGTCGGGCTGCTTATTTGCGGCATTTTCTCGGTTTCTCTTAGCGCTCACGCTCAAATTGGCCAAAATGTGGCGCTCCTCCCCCCCCCCCGACAACAACTAGCAACCAATTCCGAGCATGCTAATTAGCTGGTTCGCAAAGCTTTTGCCTTTATTTCCCATGCGTCCATTATAATAATATTTCGCTGTATGTTTTCGCCAGGTTTAATTAATGATTTGCTAAGCTGCCGACTGGCTCGCTTGTCTCACACACAGCCGGCTGGCAACGGGGGTTAATTGTGTGTCAGGGGCATTAGGAATTTCTAGTGAGCATTCGCACCACACCGCCCCGCCCCGCCCAGACCAGACCAGAGCAGTGTCCCCTTGCCGACCAGCCAATGGCCATGTCCAATTGTGGTCATGCTGCTGCTGCTGCTGCTGCTGCTTCGTCTGCCTGCTGTTGATGTGGCCCGCATATGTTGCCAACACGTGGCGGGAGCAACAACAGCAACAACAACAATGCGGCGCTTTGTTGGCTGCCCATTGCGCGTCCGTTGCGAAGCGGATTTGCTGGTGCCAGGGGGTAGGAGGTAGGGGAGATAGCCCCCAATGAGCTCCCATGTTGCACATTGGACGCTTGTTTCTTGCTGTTTTTGCTTTCAGTTCCGCTGCATCGAGTCGTTGCACACACAAACATACAATCGCGAAACTTGTGCACGCATTTGCAATATTTATTACCTCCACCCAGTATTTGATATAATTTACATACCCTAACATTTAGTACATATTGCTTCTGCAAATCAGCTTGTATATATTATATATACACTCAGAGAAATACGCAATTAAGAATTATCATTCAAGACGTTTCTTTCTTAATCGATTTCGATTAACGATAGCTTTCCTCCTTTGCATGAAATCGACAGGAATCGATATCAGAATTTTGATACTGGGCGCAGTTTTTCATCGTATTTATTTCTTTTAGCAAGCGTATTTGCGCTTCGTTCAATCGAATTTGAAATTAGTTTTTATTTTTTTTCTCTATGCAATGTTCCCAACTTCCATGTACATTTGCATGTGACCGATTGAGGTTTATGAATATAAATTGTTTGTTAATTAAATGCAACATTAGCAACATGAGCAGCAGCAACAACAACAACAACAACAACAATAATAATATTGTTGAATGATTGTCTGCGCTTTAATACCGGAAATTGATTAAAAGCTCATTTCATTTGCTGGCCATTCGTTTATGTTGTTGTTGTTGTTGTTGTTGCTGCTTTGGCCCCTACTCGCTGTCATAATTTGCCATTTGAAATGATTATGGGCCTAATACAACCACACACACACACACACACACATGCACATGTATAATTGGAATTTCAGTTGCATTCGTTGCTTGTTGTAAAGGAAATGTCTCTAACATGGATATGCATTGTTATTGCTATTTACTATTCTCAGCATTGTTGCTGCTGTTGTTGTAATTGACTCGGGTGTTAGTTTGGCTTGTTAATAGCAAATCCAGGCAAAGCATAACAACTAACTAATGCACAATTGCCTTTCATCCAATTATTTGGGCTTAAGCATGCGAATGTCTCGGCTAATCGCAAAGAGCTCTAAATCTGGGCTATTGTGTTGTTGGCTTTGTTATTAAATTGAGAGATACACGAGAGCTATTTATGGCAGCTTGAACGTATGTGACTCGTTGCTTGTTTGTCCCCAAAAACCTAGGCCAACTCATAACTAACATGAACTTCAAACTGGCTGTCAAGCTGGTCAACATGCCGTTGCCTCACCCAGCCTAACGTCTGCCCACAATTTGCGTCTGTTACAATTTTCCTCATCTTTCTCGTTGCTGTTTGCCATAATTTTATTGGCAATTTCAGACGTCGAGAAAGTTGGCCAACTCTGGCGCCGGCTCTGGGCTCTGGCTCTGGCTACGACTCCGGCTCCGGCTTCAAGTCCAACTTGTACCCGTGTCTGGCCGTTTGGCTCTCCTGCACTTGCACGTATTTACGTTGCGATTTTTATTTCCTGTAATTTTTACGATATTACTTATTTTTATGCACCGCACGACGCACGACGCACCACCGCAGTGGGGTTTGGGTGGCGCGTGGGTCAACGGGGGCTGCGTTTAGCTTTCGTTTTGCATTTTTATGGCCCGTTGTTGAAGTACCACATTATTGGTTTTTCAAAAAATGTGAGCTGCCTCGTAAAAGAAATTAAAATAAAAGCTGAATAACCGGGGGGCTGCCCCAGAACGCGGCATGTTGACAGCACAGCGCCCGACTTTAAAGTTGCCCCACAGAGTCAGCTTAAGCCAAAGCAATAAAAAAATAAATAAAAAAATAAAACAAAATTAGAAAATAGAAGCAAACATCAAATGTACATTCAGTTGGAATTGAAGCGCATGTGTGGCTTATTTTCATTGTTGTTATTACGTATTGTTTTTACAGTTGGTTGGCTTATTTATTCGGTGGCATTTGTTATTATTTAATTTCAATATTTATGCAGCTTGTCTGGCGTGACTACGCCGCATTATAATTACCCGCACACACTAGCCCAGACCCGCACACCACAACCGAGCCCAATCCAAAGACCTAAACATCTCCAATACATTTTTCCATTTAATAGCTGCGAATCGACTCAATATTTTGTTATGCCCAAGGCGCTTGCTGTAATGTCTATGCCAGTTACTATCTGGTAAATAATATATGCTAAATGGTAAATGGTAAATTGTGTATGGTTTATGGGGGCATGCAACGAGCCGTACGTGCGACCTCGTTATGGAGCTTGTGTTTGCTTTTCTTACTGAAAGACCAAACATAATCGAAATCTATTGTGCTTGAACAGAATTTTGTTAGCAAATAAACTAAAAATGTTGTGCAAGTTTAACCAAGCTCGCACATATCGAAACTTAGCTCAAAATTCTTCATTCAAGAAGGAAGTTTCTAAATACAAGTCAAACAAAAGAACGACTCACGGCTGTTCATCAACGAAGTCGGTTTTTAAGTTGTCTTTCTACGTTGTACGGTTATTTTAAGAAAATAAGTACTTTGTATTAAACCTAAGCCCTTTTTTATACTTATAGCCTTATTTCCCTTTCCACATTTCGTACAATATTTTCGCGAACATCGCATGTTTTCTAATGTGAAATAGTACGTTTTTCCATAAGAAAACACATTATCACATTTGCCAAAAATGTCATTTTTAAAAAAATTGCTATGATTTGTCGAATTTCATGTCGATATTACGAAAAATAAATAGATGTAGCAAGCGGAAAATATAATTTATAATTTTAAATTTAAATAATCCCGCAGTTTTTATAATTTAAGGATGGCCAAATACCGCAAAAAGTCCATTGTATGGAACCTCTATTTCGAGGTCTTTTTATTTGACATTTAGAAGAAAAATCAAACCGATCAGTTGTTTATTTAAAGAAGCGGTACTTTGAATGGTGAAAATGCAACATTTTTTGAGCATAGTGGAATTGGGCTACTTACATAAACATGCAAATAAAAAGGTATTGAAGGGGGGCAGCCGACACACCATCACCAACAACATTCAATATCTAAAGTGAATGTTATCAATCTGTAAAGGGTATCAGCATTTTGTTAGCGCCATCTCAAAAAGAGCTGCTCGTATTACATCTTTGTAATATGACTGTACTTGGCCGGTTTTGTCATTAGCATTTATATAAAGCTGACTCAAGTTGGTTTTATTACTCGATATTTTATCATATCATGTTTATACGGCCAAGAAGTCAGTCAGATTATCAAAATATTTACATACTCGTATATTAGCTACAATATTTAGCATATTGCCTAACGAATGAGTATTTTTATTTGTATAATCTGAATATTCCAATTATCATGCGGCCTTTAAACGACTTATTGTAGGGCAAAGCCAAGTTTTCGATTATCTACAAATTTGTAGAGCCGCCTTTATGGGCCATTATTTTGCTTAACTGCAATTTACGTAATTATTAGATTGTGGATCCAATGGAAATGGGTAAAACAGGTATAAGACTCTATCGGAAGCTTATGTATATGTAACAGGCAGAAGGAAATAGAAATTTGAATCTAAGTTTCTTAACCATAATTTGAATATTTTAGAAGCTAGTTAGACCTAACTTGGTATGTACAGTGTTTACTTTAAACATACACTCTCGTGGCTCGATTCAGGGTATTTTCTAGTCGAGCACTCCCGATTGGAGCACTCTTACTGGTTTTCATATAATTGCGATAGCCCTGCCCCGGTAATTCAGTAATTTGCATAGTTGTCTAGGATCAAACAGTTGCCCTTTTATATCTTTCTGTTTCTTTGCAATATTCCCTAGTTGTTTGCCCTTGTCTGGGCCGTTATTTGATTTATTTTTATTTTGTTTCATATAAACACTTAACTATCCCTAAGCTGAAACCAGTTGGTGAACAGCGACCAACTGCTGGGTCGGCGTCGGTTTCTCTGTGAGGGGGGAGAGCAAAAACAACTTTTAATGCTTTTCCAATTTATTTTTGTGCACAACTTGAACGACAGCAGGTTCAATTTTCCGTTTTAGTTTTAGTTTTAATTCAAGTTTTAGTTTCGATTTCGTGCAATTTCAATTGAGTTATTTGCGTTTGTCCATTCCAAGTTCTTGCTGTCTGCCAGTCCGTCTGTCTGTCATTCCGTCTGTCAGTCAGCTTTGTTGTGCTTCAAATTAAATTGGCCTTTGTGTGGCGTCGGGCTATTGGCAGACTAATGTATGGCAGACATGTGCGTACCATCGGGCAGGGGGGTAGCCATTGGTGCCCCATTGGATCCCATTGCTTCCATTTGGCTCACTTGTCCGCTGGACATGCACACAATAATGCCAAATACAACACCGAACGCTCATTGAATAAATAATCAAAATCAAATACATACTCGCATGTTGCTGCTGCTTTGTGACTTCGTTTATTCGCTTCTTTTTTTGCGGTCTTTTCACTGCAAAAATATCCAATTTCCAATTTCAAATTCCAATTATATTGCTCTACGCTCTTTTTATTATTATTATTATTATTATTGGTGCTCCTGGTGCTGCTTCTGTTGTTGGCAATGAAAAATCAATATTGACAGGAAAATGTTGCAAGCCCTGAAAAGTTGTCAATAAGGACGCAAACGTCGTCACAAATGAAATCATACGAAATGTGCATAAATGGCTTCCCTATATGTACATACACTCAGAAAAAAATTACAAGCTTAACTCAATTCTGTGTCTAAGTGGGAATTCAGGATGCTCGTACAAAGAAATAAATGTCTAGAAATAGGTATTTGTTTATTTGAAATACAAATTCTTTACTATACAAATTTCTTGACTATTTCTCTGAGTGTAGTCATGATATATGTATCTAGGCAGTTGAGTGACTTTAAGTTTTTCGCCCTGCGAGAACTTTGTCGCGAACTTTGTTCAAGAACCGCCACTTGTCACTAATTGCTGCTGCTGCTTCTACTGCTGCTGCGTGTGGCATGTGGCATGTGGCAAGACCAAAACGGACACATCCGTTACAAGAACAGAACGCTGGCTGCTGAATCAATTGGCCAGCGGAAATGTTGCGACGCCCTCGAAACAAATTGCTTAATTACAAATAATGTAAAGGCAGCCGCCACGTTGACAGAGTATCAGGAAGTTCTAGGAAATGTGAATGCGAAAACGAATGCAAATGCAAATGCGAATGCGAATGCGAATGCGAGTCACTCATTCAAATAAGCAAGAAAAATTGCATGCCAAATGCTGTTGCACGCGGCCAGTCAAATGTCTATAATTTAAGCAAAAACAAGCGACAGATACAAACAGCAGCAACAACTAAAACAACAACAGCAGCAACATCGACAGCAGCAACAGCAGCAGGCAAATCATTTGAAGTTGCAGTTGCCATTTCTTGTTGTTGTTCTTTTTGTGGCTGTTGCAAAATTTATGCACGCGGCTGCTGCAAAAAATGTTGCTGCAGTTGCTGTAGCTGTTGCTGTTGCTGTTGCTGTTGATGTTGCAGTTGTGTTGCCTGGCTAATTTGCAGCAGCAACCAGTGGAAATTGTTGATGTGCAAAAATGTTGTTGTTGTCGTCTTGTAAATGCCATAAATTAGTTGCCTGCCAGCAGACGAAAAGCGCAATTTACAAATCATTTTATTTTGTTTTGTTTTTCTTCTTTTTTTTTTTTTAATTTCAATTTTTTCTTTATACAATTTCGTACATTTTCATTCATTCAATTTTTTTAAATTATTTTTTATTGCTTCTTTTAAGTCGATTTATTATGTTAGCTTCAGTCGTTCGATATGCCGTTTGTTGTTGTTGCTCTCTGCATATTTTGGCAGTGCCATGCACATTAAATTATTGGACAGACACACAAGCACACAATTGCAGATATATTTTATCTTTTTTCCGGCTTGCCGAAGGTCGTGTGGGTGCCTCTGTGGGCGGGGGCTGGCATTTGCCAGCGGCATAAAATATGCATAAAGCCAAAATCAATGCTGTGTGTGCGCGTGTGCGCGTGTGTGAGTGCGCGTGTGTGTATGCCGGTAAGAGATTGGAAAATTTGATATATGCCATTTGGTAAATGTTTTGTAATGTGCAATGCACAATGAAAGCAAATTAAATTATTCAATTCGCTCACACACACGCATACACATTCAATTAAATTGTTGTGTTGGCAGCAACTTGCACAGATTGGGTATTTACTAGCTGAAATTGCAGTTAGTTAGCATATTCAGAAATAAGAACAAATACATTACGCTATTAGCTTTTGTATACTAATTAGGCTTTTAGCTTAAGTTTAATAATTTCATTTATTAAATAATTGCGAAGACACTCGTTTTCGTTGACCATTTTATAAATGAATAAATAATATAAATAAATTGCCAGGCAGGCAAATGCCCAAAGAAACAGGCATAATCCAAACACTAAAAGCCTTATATAAATCATAATATATTATCATAAGACAACCGCATAACTAGCAAACTCTAGATGGCGCTAATTTATCAACATTTCCGTTACAGTTCGTCGTTTCCATTTCCGTTTCCGTTCAGTCGCAGTGTCAAGCAGGCAGGGAGGGCACATGCCACAGAAATTGCAGCTCGTAAATAAAAAGGTAAATTCTTAATTGTAAAAGTTTTCATTTTTATGACAAAATTGTAGCAATTTATTATAACCAAAACGCAAAAAGGCCAAACAAAATAAGAAGAAGAAAACGAATAACAGAACCAAACTTTGAAAATTCCCATAACGCTCATGGTTACAGCTCGTTACAACAATAACAACAACAAGAACAAAAACAAAACTGAAGTCTAACTAGAATCAATGGCAGGGCAATTGTCAAAATGAGAGCAGCAACAAAATGCTGTACAGAATTTTCCAAGCAACAATGAAAACCTAGAAAAGCAGCTGCCAGATGAAATCCTACAATTCCCAAAACAACAATGGCAAATAAATTAAATTAGTCACAAGCATATTTCAAAAATATGTATGTGTATATAAATGTATCTATATCTTTTTGATATGTATATAAAAAACCGTCTGCATGTTGTGTGTGTGTGCGTGTGTTAGTGTGTGTGTAAGTGTGTGCGAGAGTGGGATGGCCATACACAGTTGGGCCAAGGATAAAAGCCAACAATAAAACACACAGACGAGCATTTTATATAGATATACAAATATATATATTTTATTTTATGAGCAAAGGACTGTTACATAAAACTCGCTTCAGGCAAGGGTTGGATCTGACTGTGTTGCGGCGGGGCGGGGCGGGGCGGGGCAGGACGACGGCCCAGTTTACGACATAGTCTCTGGCTCTGCATTTGCCGTGTGGGCGGCGGCCTAACTGCAGCTACACAAGCTGCCAAATTGCCTCAGTTTTCTACACCAAAGAGTAAAAAAAAAAATAGATAAAAAAGTTTTGGGCAGCGCACACAGGGCGGAGGCGGACGGGGCGGCTTTAAAAACGTCTCCGACTTCGTCTGCGAAACGAATGCAGAGTCCCAGACGGGGCCAGACGGTCGAAGGACACGCAGAGGCGACACACCCACAACACACACACACACACACACACATATACACAGATACACAGATACACACACAATCCGAACGACATAATAAAACCGGCATTTTTATGCATGTCTGAGTAACTTCATGAGCCGAACCAGACCGGGGGACAGCTGGGCGAGGGTTGGTGGGGAGGCAGCGAGGGGTTAGATGGGGAGTTTTTTGCTGCTGCTTCTGGCACTTCCAGTGTGCAGCTTGTTTGGAGTCTGTTTCAGGTTCATTGGAAGGCCGCCAAATAGAGCTCCCGTGGGTTCAATTTGGGAGCGGGAGCGGGAGCCTGCGCAGTTCGGATCTCGCTCTTTATTCAGCCGCCTGGGAAACCATCGGCGAGTCGAACCTGCGCACTGGACGGGCGTGTCACAGTAGCCAGAGAACAGTAAAAGCAACAAAAGCAACAACAACAAACAGCATTTTGGGAAGGTCGTTGCGAACAGTTGTGGCACAGCGCACAGCTGGACCACAACAGACACACACAGATACACGCACATACACGCACACAGGGTCACATTTATACAACGAGGCGTCGACCGGCATGTAATTAACTTAAGCCCGAACGAATGTCGATATTGATGCCATTTCGGCTGACGAAGTCCGGGTCTAAGGCCGGGGTCCATGGAATCGGCTCTGCACGCGGACCAGGCCACATTTATGCTGCAGTCTTTTCAAAACTGTGTGTGTGTGTGTGTATATGTGTGTGTGTGTGTGTGTGTGTGTGTGTGTGTGTGTGTGTGTGTATATGTGTGTGTGTGTAGTAGTCGTAGTAGTCAAGCCGAGGTCGTTTGCCGGCACTTGCTGGGACATACATACTTATGAAGCTATGTGGGAATATATACCAGAGAGTGCGACATGGACAGCATGTGTGAGTCGGAGCTAACTGAAGATCCAGCACAATTGCTTATTGCTTTTGTTATTGTTGTTGTTGTTGTTGTTGTTGTTGTAGGTGCACCATATGCTGCATATGGCATAAATGGATTACGCAATTGAGTCCAGAATAATAAAAATAACAAGCACAGGAAAGAAATGTTATCTTAGGGCTGCCACAGATCAAATACCCTGCCAATATACAATATATATATATATTTATTTTTTTTACATACAAAAGCTCCGATTCTTATATGCTATATGCGATATCTTGAAAAAAACCAAAAAGAACTGCATACGAAAAATCTGTTCTCCAACGAAATCTCCGATTACACATGTATGTATTTGATAACACTTATTGAGAATCTCTACTCCTTCCATGCTTTGTGAATTAAGTGTAATGTAAGTGTATATGTATAATAGCATCAAATAAATTGGGCATGAAGCAAAGGGATCTAAATTGGAAAGTGTCTAGAAAGAAATTTTAATTGATTTGGCAACTGTTCAGAGACAAAAAAAAAATAGCTTGATAATGTGTACAATATCAAAAGAGTTCACCCAAGCACATTGAAATAATTCTCACATATTTTCGTAATGGCAATTTGGGATCAATCAACCAATCAACCAAGTTGGGCGGCGGAGCCACACCTCTTGAGGTGCCGCGATGCGATGCGAGTCGTGGCGCGATTTTAATTGAAAATTGCTGTCATGAAGAAAACGCATAAACAACAATTCTAAGAAATAGCTCAGACAATCAAATGTCTACTGTATGTAGAAATTCACATAACAATCGTACAATATGCATGACAATAAGCAGCTCGTTCCTCGTTCCCGGCTCACATCCCTTCTCCTCCCCTGGGCTCAGGCAGGCCCAAAGATGTCTTAGGAGAATGGAAAAACTATTGTCTGAGCCACTTTTTGGAGAGTCGTGCACAAAAACTTATGTATAAATCAAAATTTATGAATTTCGTGTATTCGAGTGGCTCACCGAAGTAGAGGAAGATGAAGAAAACGAAGAGTTTCGAGTGCCGGCTGGCACTTGAGGACGCTCTGGCCTCGAGACCTCGTCGTATTCAAGTAAAACAAACAATATAAACTTGAAAAAAACGCTTCGTTGCATATCAAATTAATTACACACAGGCCCCAAAAGCAGCCAGAAAACTTGCAAGAGGCAGGACGGGCAGGAGGCAGTTGCACAGTCAGTCAGTCAGTCAGTCTCTCAGTCAGTCCCTCAGTCAGTCAGTTGGTAGGGCAGGCTTTGCTGTCAGACAACCCTTGAAGATTGTTTTCTTATGCCGAGGGGCTGCAGCGAGGCTCCAAACTTTGTGCACAGAGCAGGCGAGCTAAGCTGCTAAAAAAGAAGGGGATAGGAGAAGATGGCAGGGCGACAAGCTGACAGGCAACAGCCAACAACAATTCATTCGAACTGAAAAACTGAAGGCATAATTTATGCCTTCAAAGTGAATTGTTCAAAAGAAAACTTTGAACATTTTTCCCCTTAACAACAACAGCAGCGGCAGCAGCAGCACGTCCTGTTCCTGTTGTTCTCTACGCTCCATGTCAACACAGCCCGCACCGGGAGGAGGACAATAAAACATCAGCAGCAAGATAAATGGCTCGATGGGACTAGCCGAACGCCGCATGCCCTTTAGTCGAAGTCCAGGCACAAAGACAATAAATGCATCAAACTGGAACGTTGCGGTTCGCTGAAAGGAAATGTGATACTGGCGAGGACTGCACAAGGTCTGCGGTTCGAGGCAATGTCTCGCGCTTGGTTTATGTATGAAGGCAAAGACTTTTACTTAATACATATTACACTTTTCTTCAAGTTTCAGAATTGGTTTCACTTTGAGCTCGAATATATTTTGAATTTTTGCTAAGTCGTTTGATTGGAATTGAGATTATTTTATTTGTGAGCAGCTGATTCGCCGGTTCGCTTGGAAAATAAGTTTGCATTACAAGGGGCTAATCCAAGTACAATTTTGAGTTTATTTGAGACAATTAGACGGAAACATAAGCTTCGAAAAGTAGTGAAAATGGAAAATTGGACCTGGGCTTAAAATATAAAAGACAAATCCAGTTATGAACTTTTCATATGCAAAAAAAGTTAAGCTCAAACAAGTTCTGGAATACCAGACCATAAAAGTCACAATCGCTTCTCTAAAACATTCAATCATTTAAAATTCAGTTTGCTTTATTTTGTTGGATGTGCAGTCAGCGGAGCACAAAAATGTAAAAAGGAAACTGAGTCCCGAACAAAACACAGCCCAATGCTCACATGATGTCCAAGTAAAATGTACAATTTATAAATGGACACGACCCAGAGATTCGCTGGAAATGGTCAAAGGCTGAACACAACTGACAGGGCCCAACATGAATGGCCAAATCTCACGCACACACCCAAGCCCCCTTGCCACAAAAAGGTTTTGGGCAGAGGCAGAGGCGACCCCAAAAATGCTATTTTAACTACATTTGGCGTTTCTTTTTTTGCTGGGTTTTATGCCGAAATATTGTACATTTATTAATACATAATCATCTCTGACAGCAACATGAGAACTGGCCACATGGCTGAGGTCCCAGCGGACAGAGTTACGAGCATTGAAAATAGAGCACTAAAATTGTAATAGATATACGTGTGCGTGTCTGTGAGTGTGTGTGTGTTGGGTATAACGAGGCTGTGGCCAGCTATGTATTGTTGTTTTTGTACGTGTTGTGCGACCCGTTCTTCAGTTAGAGCTTCTGGGAAATCCAAGCTAGCTCCGTGAATAGAAGCAGACTGGCCCGAAAATGTTTGTATTGTGCTTCGTTTAACTTTTATTTTTTTATTTTCCAGTTCGAGCCAGCTTTGTTTTCAGCCGGCTGTTTAGTTGTGCAGAAGGCCAGATAACTCGCAGTTCTTCTTGTTGTTATTGTTAGTTAAGCAGAATAGTTGCTGTTTGTTGTTGCTAGGAACCAGGTTTCTGCGAAAAGTTGAACACTTGATAAATACTTTCATGTGAATGATTACGAAAGAGTTAAGCCAAAAGTTAACAGGCCAGAAATTGATTTTCTCTTTGCCGCACTAATAGAGTATCTAATGTTATTATAGTGTTTAATAGTCAAGCAAAAGATAGCATCCGATGGGCAAGTGAGTCAGTCATTCATTCTGGTAACTGAAAAGGAAAGATTCAGTCAAAGCGCAAAATAGACGGG